ATACATTGATTTTTCTCCCTCTCTTTCTCCCTCCCTTCCCTTCTCTCTAAAAATTTAAAAAAAAAATTTTTTTTAATGGCAGCTAGTACAGTATCAGCACCCAGTGCTAGTAGTGTCAGTGGTACAGACGCTACTAGTGCAGCATCTACTGCCTAGTTGTAGCAGCTGTAATAATGTCCGTAACAGACAAATCCTGTGGCACGAGTTTGATGGCGCTGTTCTTGGCCATGTAAACCTCAGGTTCTCCAGCCTTCCCCGGAGTTCTGTGAACTCCCCAATGGCCTCTGATGTATTCCTGACACGGTTAAATTGGAGTTCATTTCTGTTCTTTGCAGCTCAGAACCTTGCCTGCTAAGATGAGCCTCTGTCCCTCTTGAGCCCAAAACTCATGGAAGGAGTCTCCGGAAAGCCCAGGTGAGACTTTTTTCTTGTTAATCTGTCATACCCAGAAAAGGACTGGGTGTGTGCGAGCTGATCCATGGCAGTAAGTGTCTGAAAATATTCTCGTGCTACGCACCTCCTCCTACCCCCAGACCTAAGATGCATCAGCATCCTGACCAAATATTCCAAGGCTCAATTAATAACTGCTGTCACTGTCGCTCTTGTTTCTGATGCTCTGGGCACACCACATGATACCAGGGGCCAGCCTGTTAACATGCAAAGGTAGTGCTACAAGTCCATATCTGTTAGATAGGTTCAGCAGGTCGTAAGAGGGGTTTGAGGTCATATCTCCCAAATACAGGCCCTTTTGGGGGGTGAGCTCTAAAGATGTGTGACCTTCAGAGCTGCTTCCTAATTCGTTCCTCCCTCCTTTTTCCCATCTTTATAGAAGGTGTGGACGGGAAACAAACCAACCAGATAGCTCTTTTTTTTTTTAAAGATTTTATTTATTTATTTTTAGAGAGAAGGGCAGGGAGAAAGAGAGGCAGAGAAACATCCATGTGCGATCAGTTGCCTCTCACACGCCCCCCAACTGGGGACCCGGACAGCAACTCAGGCATGTGCCCTGACTGGGAATCGAACCAGTGACCTTTCGATTTGCAGGCCAGTGCTCAATCCACTGAGCCACACCAGCCAGGGCAACCAGATAGATTTTAATATCTGGCAACCTGATCCTACACTGTGGCTGCACAGGCATTTGGTGACTCAATGTGGCTACACGCCTCTGGGTGGAGGCGGGAACCCACATGTCAGCCAGGAAGTTGGCAATATTTGGGAGTCTGCCAAACCTGGTTCATGAGCCTACTGTCAGTGCCATATAGGCCAGCTCCAGCTGCCTTACCTCCCCTTGCCACGGCCTAGCAGTCAGCAAAGGTGTTGAAAGCTGCCATCACAGCCTCTCCCTTCTTCACCCTGCTCTCCAGCCCACTGAGCCTGGGAGAATCCCCTTTACTCCCTACCCCCAGAAGAATGCAAGCTCCACCTTCTGCTCCTCCTACCAGCTGCAGTCATTGGTTCACAGTCTCACACAGGCACACCTCCCACCCCACACGTGTACTCTAAGAAATGGAGGCAGAATGTTCTGTCACTTTTCAAAGGTAGCCAATCCCACACATACCCTGAAATGATTTTCTCTGACCCCATGGAACAGCCTGTTTAAGTCTGAGGGTGCTGAGCAGATTTACAACAATTCTTTTTTTTTTATGTTTACAGAAAGCCTCTGATGTCCACATGATATGCCATCATTTTAACAGATGAGAAACTGACACATAAAGTAATCAAGTACTATGGCATGGCTTACCTGCACAGGGGGTGAGCTGCTTGTTTCGAAGGCATGCAAGAAGAGCCTGAGTCCCCTTGTCTGGCAGGCAGGAAGGGACTTTATATATTATATAGCAAGACAAGGACAGTGTGTTGGACCAGATGACCTCCATTTCAACCTACTACATTACAGTTCTAGGTATCAGTAGTGGAGCAAGTTCTCAAACCTGGGTCTTCTGCATCATCATTCAAAGCTCCGTGCAGTACATCACTAGATAGGAGGTCTCTGGGAGCAGGTGACACATATTACCGTATTTTGCTGTGTATAATGCACACCCACATTTCTGTGCACATTGTACACAGGATTATTATACCCATGGTACGTAATCATTATACCCATGTGTAACGCGCATCCTTATTTCCCCCCAAATATTTGTGCAAAAAAGTGTACATTATATGCGGCAGAATACAGCATGCATCACTTTCATGTCCTGTACCCCAGCACAGCACAGAACAAGTATTGATTGTTGACTTAATTCTTGATTTAACTGCTTGGTGATTTAATGGCAATAATAAATGCTTGTAGAGTGGTTACTGTGTATGTCAGGCATCGTTCGAAGTACTTTTCATCTATTAGCTTGCTCAATGCTCACAACAAGCCTACAAAGGTAGATACTGTTATCTGAATTTTACAGATGAGGAAACTGAAGTAAAGAGAAGTAAAATAACACAACTGGTAAGCGTTAGAGTCAGGGTTCACACCCAGGCAGCCTGGCTGCAGAGTCCTGCCCCTAACCATTCCACTAAATTAATTGTCTCCCAGGATATGATGCATGCATGTTTTTTCCACATACCCACAGTTCACTGACCTGCCTAGAAGCACCCTTTTCAGACACATACAGGACGCCTTATGAGAGAAGTTAGTACAGAAACCACTTGGCTAACACCAGAGTGTAGTCTAAACAGGGCACTTGTGGCCATAAGGCTTCGCGGAGCTGCCCTCTGTCTTTCTTCTTCCCCACTCAGGCATCCCAGCCCTCTCCTCCGATATATTGTTGCTGCTCACCAGCTAAAAAGCCTGGCCCCATCCCAGCCGGGATTTCCTCTGTTCCCTGGCCAAATTCCCAGCTGGAGGAAAACAGCCCACTACCCCCTGGCTCACATCCTCCAAACCAGCGGGAGCAGCGCACCACCGAAGGCATGACTAGTGGGAGACCCAGCCCCGCGGATGTGCCCGTCCCAACAGAAAACACAAGCCCTCAGTCAGAGCCCATAGGGATAGAAGGCACCACCCCCAAGTGTCTCGGGCTCCAGGGAGGGCAAAGGAAGAGGCAGCCTCTCTTTGCAGGGACAGTCATACCTTGCCAACTTGTCCCTGATTAAGCAACATAGCTCCTGTCCACAGTGTGATGTGGGCGGAAGCGCAGGGCAGCAGGAACAAGAATAGGGTAATGATGAGAATATTAATAGCTACCATTTATTCAGCCTTTACTCTGGCCCAAACTACTGAGTACTACCAACCACTGTTTCACTGCCCAACAATCTTGTGAGGCAGGCGTTATTAGGTTGTTATTTTATGGATGGAAAAATTGAGAAGTTACGTGACTTGCCCAAGGCCACACAGCTTCTAGGTAGAAGAATTAAGACTGGTGTCCAGGGCTGCTTGAAGCCCAAGCTGTGCTCCTAATCATTTCCCTCTGCTGCCTTTCCAATAGTCTCTCAGTGTCCAGCTAGTCTTGCCATGTGAGCGCCTGCAAATTGAAGACTATTCGGGGAGGATTTCTATCTTACATGATTACGAGGCATCAGATGCTAGACCAATCCATTTACCAGGTCTCATGGAGCCAGCCCCCTGATGTTCCAGACAGTGGTACCGAGGACCAGAGAAAGAAACCAATTTGCCCGAGGTCCTCAGTAGCAGCGCTGCCTTCCCTCACAGCTCTCTCCTGCAGTGACCCCTATGGAATCAAAGGGTCAGACAGCCCCCAGCTGAAGGTGTCAGCGCTTGATTAAAATTTAAGCCAATTTCAGAGCTTTAACATCTATACTATTGTTTTTTATTTATTCTCGCTCTTTCTCTCTCTCTCTCTCATGCACACACACATACACATACACGTACACACACAGAACAATGATGTTCTAAAATTGTGCATCCTTTTACGTGCCAGAAAACATCGAGTTGGGAAAACATAGAGTTCGGACTCCTCAGACAGGATGCTGGTGATTGTTTAGGATTTCCTAGATTTTTCTGAAGTCAGATGGGTCCAAAACCTGGAGCAAGATAATACCAATAGGTAGATAAGACCCCAGGTTTCAGGGATCTGTACAGGGGCTCTCTGCCTTCAGGAACCACCTCACCTGTAGGAATGGTGTAAACAGCAGCCTCTGCATCAAGGCTTATGGCCACTCACTCCCAAGTGGTTGATGCTGGAAGTGCTCCTACCAGGTTCAGAATTAGCACTCTTCTTGGCCTGCTTTCAAAATGCCACTACCTCTGGCATCAGAAGGAGGTTGCCCACGTCCCTGAAGCCTCACCGTATGTCCCTAATGGACTAGGCAGGAAGCACAAGGAGTCTGGAGCTGAGAGCTCCAGAAACAGCCTTGCCAAAGCCTAACTTCACTGGCTCTTAGTGTTTTTCCAAAGGATCTTAAAGATCATCTGATTCAACCCTCTCCTCTCCCAACTATTAATACTTAGCTGCCATTGCAGGCATCACTATCTGATGTTGAAATCTTCACTACAGCATTCCCGCACAGCAAAGATCCTATTGGCTTGTACCCCTCCAGTGGAAACGGGAAGCTCATGAATCCTATGGAAGGCCATTTCATCATTAGAAATTTTGCCCCTTGGTGGAGTTGAAATCTGTCACCCTTTAGCTTTCAGGGAAGTATATGAAGTATTCAGTAAATATTAATTTCCTGCCACTTTCCCTTCTGTGCATAGGTGGAACCACAAAAACCCTGTCTGCTCTTTCTTCCTTATATTAGCTCTTCCGAGGCCAAAAACCATACCTCCCCGAGTTTTACCTTTTTTTTTTAAGTTACAAGTTATGTTTTATATCCTCCAGCTTTTCTTCCCACGAACATATGTATTTTATAGATTTCTGTTTTACTTGCCCCTTCCCCACCTTTCCCCCGTTACCCCCCTCCCCCCTGCCCTCTGGTTACTGTCAGTTTGTTCTTTATTTCCATGTCTCTGGTTTATTTTGCTCGCTTGTTTCTTTTGTTGATCAGGTTCCTCTTAGGGGTGAGATCATATGGTATTTGTCTTTCACCCCCTGGCTTATTTCACTGAGCATAAAAATATGGAACACTTCACAAATCTGTGTGTCGTCCATTGCGCAGGGGGCGTGGTAATCTTCTCTGTGTCATTCCAATGTTAGTATATGTGCTGCCAAAGCGAGCACTGTATTTTATAGACTGAGATTATAAAAAACTTAATACTGAATTGTAAAACACCTTTCTCATTATCATATTTTCAGAAAATACTCATTTCCAATGGTTCTTGGCATGTTTATTCCAATATTCAAATATATTCCAATATTATAACATTGAAACATATAGTATCTGAATTTAACCTTTCTCACTGTTGATTATTTAAGTTGTTCCTGACTTTCTAATTATTATTTACAATTCTTAGACGAACATAGTCGCGAGTGAATCTCTGTTCAAATTTATGACTACTTTAGGATCAAGTTCCAGAAGTGAAATTACTTTTCAAAAATCCTTTATAAATTATTGTTAAATTAGTTTTCAGAAAGAGCATAGCCTGAGGTTCTTTAAAGTGACATCAGATAATTAGAAATAAAATGCTGAAAGAAAGATTAGGGATTCTCTACCAAAAACCAAATTAGACTTTTGTCTTTTGAAGCTATAAAGTCCTACGTAGCTCCATCAACCTGTGTCCAGTCTGCTTACCCAGCCACGCTCCTGGTTGTTTGGGGCCTCTTTCGTGTGTTGGCCCAGACAATTTTCTCAGCTTTCATGCTCCCTGTCTTCTGCTTCATAGGACACACACTGACTCATTTGCATATGCGGATCGACAGCCTGATAGAATTGGAAAAGACCATGGGGAACATCTATCTGGTCCAGCCAACCCACAATGAGACCAACACTGAGACCCAGAGAAGGGAAGAAACATTGTTCACTAAAAACCTTTCCCCTAAGACAGTATTTCTCAAAGTATGGTGGGGACCACCTGAGTCAGACGCCTGACAGAGAATCTCTTTGGAGGTGGAAACAAGAAATCTGCACGTTTGTGTCTTTTTTTTTTATAAATACCTTATTTTTGAAATATTTTACTTACTTATTTTTAGAGAGGGGAAGGGAGGGAGAAAAAGAGGGAGACATCAAAGTGAGGTTGCCTCGCACGCGCCCCCCACTGGGGACCAGGCCCGCAACCCAGGCTTGTGCCCTGACCAGGGATCAAACTGATGGTCCCTTGGTTCGTAGGCCGGCACTCAACCCACTGAGCAACAGTAGCCAGCGTGAAAGCTGCGTGTTTAACCAGCACCCTCAGTGAGTGTGAGGCACACTGGAGTTTGGGAACCAGGGCCTATGGATGAGATAGCATTTCACTGGTGTTGCCTTTCATTCTGGGAACATTTGTTGCTAATTAGGAGCTGAGGCTTCTTCCTCCGCAAGCTCACTAATCAACACCTTAGTCAGTGTGATGTATCGTACCTACTTGTCCTGAGGCCAGACAGCCCTAATGCACAAGAGGACCTTGCAGCAGTTCAAGATTCCTTACTTACAGAGAAAAGGTTTATAGGGGTACATTGTCCATGTAGCCAGATTTCTTTTGAGAAGCCATTCTTTCATATGACCAGATCTAAGAGCTGCTATTATCTCTCTGCATTATCAGTCTAAATGCATTCCCACTTCAACCAGAGATATTCCTTTCTCCAAATCAAATTTCAAATCTGCAGTACAAAAGCAAAGCATGTCAACCAAATGTTCCTGCCTTGCCTCTTCAGCATCTCTGGCCCTGTTTTTCTGCCCACTTCTCCATTTTCTTGCTTTCCTTAATAGGCTTAATTCAATACTTCAACCTTTCTTCTGATTCTTTTCTGCTAAGACTCTCCAGACTAAAGGAGCTGCCTCACAATGCTTTAACCCTTGAAGCTCAGGCACATGGCTTTCCTTGGCGTGTGAGTGAGACTCCCGCTGGCAAATGAGTGTACCTGTCATTCAGTGTTCAGGTTATATGGATTGTATGCTTAGTCTTGTTATCTTACTAACCTACAAAGGGTGTGCTATCAGGCCACATCATTATAAGGGGACAGAGAGAGGAATAAACGGGGGCTCTCCCCTCTGTGAACCAGCCCCCAAATTTCCAAAGGTGGGGGATCCTGAAAACTGGGGCCTCTCACAGTGAGATAAATAGGAAGTAACCAGGCCCTGCACCAGGCACTGTTCAAAGCTTCTGTTGAAACCTCCCAAACTACCCAGGGTTCAACAAATGCCCATTTCTCTCCCTGTGTATTCTGAACTGGAATTGAGGGTAAAGAAGCGTGAGTCACTTGGGAAGTTTCAAAAGTACAGCGGAAGTCCTCGGCACTCGTGGTAGGCCATTGCCGTGTAGCTGGGGATATAAGACAGTGCCCAGCCCGTGTCACATGCAGGGAACTGGGTGGCAGAGGAAGAGGGAACCCAAGCAAAGTGACTGAAGAGCAAAGCAAGTGTATCTGGGGCAAGAGGGGAATTAGTTAGCCTGAGATAAGGGCAACTGAAGCTTAGGGAAGCTCTTCCTTTGCTGTGCTTTCTACAGTTTTAGAATCAGAAACCTGTACTTCATATCCTCCCAAGGAGCTATTGCGTTGGTGGTTCCACAGATAGGGAAAAAAATGTATCATTGGGAAAAAAAAGGTGCACTTCAAAAACCTGACTATTTCTTCATTTTTTAGCTTTTTGGTTTGCCTTTACTTAACTTCTCCTATCGATGAACGTCAACAGGGTCTGTCTGCCTGCCTAGGCTTGGGCTGTGTTCCACAGGAGACAAAAGCAACACTAGGGCACAAACATGAGCATTCTGGGAAGACAGTATGGCTGGAAGGAGCCAAACTGGGACCACCACACTACCCGCCCACAGGCATCTTTGTTACGCTAGAAGTTTCTCGCTTCTAGATACATAAATTATGGCATGTCCAGACAAGGGAATATTATGCAACAATAGAAAGAAAACTATTATAACTAGAAACAACTTTAGCTTCTCACACTTGAATGTGTACATAAATAATGTGAGGAGCTTGTTAAAATGCAGCTTACGATTCAGTAGGTATGAAGTGGGTCCTGATAATCTGTATTCTAACAAGTTACCAGATGATGGCAATGCTGCTGATCTGGAGACCATAGTTTAAATAGAAAGGGACCAGGGGCTGGCATCTCTCATCAAAGGGCCTGGGAAGAGGGTCCTCATCCCTTTAGTACATCAATGTGACCTGTAGCCCTCCCAAGCCCCCTATGTCTCTGGGAATTTTTTCCAATTTGTACCTCAGGACCTCACAAAGAGTTACCACAAGATTCAGAGAATCGCCTTTCAGGCCAGTAAGCTACAGTCGGCCATCTTTGCAAATCCATTCAAGTAAGTCCCTGATGAGAAATATCAATTTAAACATATATTACATTGTTAGACAGATATATATGTTTGTTTCTAGAACGCCCATTTTATTTCATTGATCTACTTGATTATTTCTGTGCTGGTATCATGTTTTAATTGCTGAGACTTTATAATGTATTTACATTTTTTAACATTTCATAATGGATTTTGACATTTAAAAAATAAATCAATGTATTTTAAAAAAAGAAAGAAGGAACTCGTACCTTTTGCGACAACATGGATGAAACTGGAGAATATTATGCTAAGTGAAATAAGCCAGACAGTGAAAAACAAATACCATATGATCTCACCTATAAGTCAAATGTATTCAACAAAATAAACTAAGGAACAAAATAAACCACAGGCATGGAAACACAGAGCAGACTGAAAGTGACCAGAGGGGAAGGGGAAGGAGGACAATGGTGGAAAGGAGGAGAAGGGACTAGACATAGAACATGTATGAATGACCCGTGGACATGGGCAACGGAGTGGGAATTGACTGTGGGAGAGGGGGGTGGGGCGGGATGGGGGGAGGAGGGCAAAGGGGGGAAACTGAGACAGCTGTAATAGAATAAACATGATTTAAAAATAAAAAAAAAGAAATTTTAAAAAAAGAAATGAATCACTGAGAATAGAAGTTCAGGGTTATGTTGAGGGGAAAAATTCGGGGCAGAGGAACTTCCTGCACCTATTAAACCAGAGACAGCACCCAAGCTCCACCTGCTACCTGTTTTTCCTCTCATCCAAGGCCACATCCCTTCCAAGTCTAGTCTGAAATCTGTTCTTGAGATTTCGAAGGAAGGGGCAGGGCTTTCGTACAGTGAGAGAAAACAGATGTGAGAGTTCCATAGACTTGGATCAGAGTGCTGACTTTACCCATCACTAGCCATGTGACCTGAAGCAAGTGGTTTTCACTTTTACGTTCAACATATCTTTCCTGAGCACCTACTAGGTTCCATGGCTGTTCAGAGGCTGAGACACAGGGAGGGGCACACAAGTCAGACAAGGACCGCACTCACACAGCCCTCACAAAGCTCACATTCTAGCAAGAGAAGACAGACAATAAACAATATGCAACATGCTGGGTAGTGGCAAGTGCTCTGAAAATGAAGCGGAATAAGAGGACAGAATGATAGGGGTTGTTATGTGAAATACCAGGGAAAACACTTCTGCCATGTAACATCGGGAAAAAGACCTACAGGAAATGAGAGAGTGAGCCGTTAAACTACGGGAAGGGTGCTTGAGGCAGAAGAAACCACATGGCCTTGAAGTCGAAGTCGAAACAAGCTGGGTGTTCGTGTGAGATGAGTGAGCCTTTGATCAGGCACATTGGTCATAGATGGTGAGAAGTGAGCATATTCTAGATATATTTTGACTTTACCTCTGTTGCGAAATGAAAATTATATCTATTTCTTGGGGTCATTGTGAGGCTTAAGATATTGAGCTAGAGTGCTGAGCCTAGGTCTGGCACTCCCGGTTTAAGTACTTCCAGCGTCTTTACCTTCCAACCGTTTCCTTCCTTCGCTTACCCAGGTAGAGGTCAAAGTTCAAAGAGGGTGTTTAGTCTACCTTGCCTGTGAATAGGCAAGGTAGACTAACCACTTAGAAACCTCCCATGTCTGCTGTAGAGTCTTCCTCAAGCCCCCATGAGGGGCTTGCGTGAGGGAAAAACAGCCCTGCCCTGAAGAAGTTTATAATCTAGAAGAGATAAAAAATGAGCATCATCAAGGAAAATACAACAAAAGAATAATGATTCTATAAAGAGCTCCTATAAATAAAAAAGAGCAAAGAACTTAATAGAAAAAAATG